GAGCCCAGCATTAAACCCTGCCCTGATTTTTAATTTGAGCCCAGCATTAAATCCTGCCCTGGTTAATCAGAGCCCAGCATTAAACCCTGCCCTGATTTTTAATCAGAGCCCAGCCAAGCCCCTTGGTGCCCGTGGTGCCCAGTTCTGGTGGCCTGTGCAGTCAGGGTAGGGGTGTTGCACACAGGAAATGCAGCAGTTAGGAAGGAATTAATGAGGCAGAGAGGTGGGAATCTTGCAGGTATTTCATATTAATTTCTGGGATACAAAACATTCTCTCAAACTCTCAGTGCTGGTCACCAACTTGTCCTTAGTGCCTCGTGCCCTGAGGCTTCCCAAAAGATTTTTCCAGAGTATTTGAGTGAAAATTGGAAGAATTTGGCTGGTTTTGAGTTGTTTGAGAGTTGCATCTTTAGGAATGTGGTGGAGTCCCCTGACATTTTCATTTATTGGATTTTTTTGTCTCTCTTAAATTCCTGCCACTCTTCACAACGTCATAATTAAATGTTTAAAAATATTTCCCTTACTCATCACTGTTGTTGTTGTGGGGACTGATCATTCTCTCTCATGAGCGTTTAATTTAGAAAATTCAGAATCACAGCTCATTCCCAGTGTCCCCAGCACCATTCCCAGTGTTCCCTCCCCACCATTCCCAGTGTCCCCCCCCACCATTCCCAGTGTTCCTTCCCCACCATTCCCAGTGCTCCCAGCACCATTCCCAGTGCTCCCAGCACCATTCCCAGTGTCCCCCCCACCATTCCCAGTGTTCCAGCATTCCCAGCTCTGTCCCTGTCCATGACCTGGGATCTCCTCCTGGCTCTTGGTGTCCCCTCAGCCTCTGGGGTTGCTCCAGGCTCAGGAATTTTTTCCAATCTCCTTTCTCTCCCCTGCTCCTTGAACAGGGACCCCGTGGCTCGTCCAAGCCGAGGATCTGAGCTGTGAATGGAGGAAAGAAAACCAGCCCCGAGGCTCTGCTGGCCCCGGGCCAGCCTGGTTTGAGCCCTGGGCCATCAGCAGAGCCTGGAGGGAGCCCCTGCGGGAGAGGAACTGGGGGGAGCAGCCCAGCAGGGGCCAGGGGGCTGCCAGGGGGCTGCCACAGCCCCACGAGGGGCTCACGCTGCAGGTGAGGGCACCCAGGTGGGAACTGGGGAATTGTGGCAGTCTGGCTGTCCCCAGAACACTTCCCCAGTTCATTCCCCCAATGTTTGATTGGCCTGGTGCTGCAGGGATTCAATCCTTGGCTTCAGGAGCCAAGGCAGAACATCCCAGCACATTTATTCCCACACAGAAATAACACTGAGGTGTACAGAGCTCAGAGGAGACAGCAGAGACCATGAGATCAGAGATCATGAGATCAGAATGAGATTTTATTATTCTTTGTTATTATTTTAGGGTTTTTTTTTTTTCTCCTTTCTGGCCAGTTTATTTCCAGATTGTGATTTGGCGGAAATGAGCTCTCTGAGCACCTCCCCAGCATCAATGACAGCAGTTTTGTATTACACATTCTGTTATATAAATAACACAATCACTCCTGTCACCACCATGGGGTTCCCCCCGTGCTTTGGGGTTGGTGGGGGATGCTGTGGGTGCCCCCAGCCCCACCTGACCTGGCAGGGGGGTGTGTGTGTCCCCAGGAGGCGCTGGCCCTGCACCGCCCCGACTTCATCTCGCGCTCGGGGCAGCGCCTGCGGCAGCTGCAGGAGAGGAGGGAGCAGAGGGGACAGCTGCGACAGCTGCAACAGCTGGAACAGCTGGAACAGCTGGAGCACCTGCGGCCGTCCCAGAGGGAACAGCTGCTGCAGCCTCCAGGGAAGAGGAAGAAGCACAGGACGGCGACACAGCTGGTGTCAGAGCCAGGTACCTGAGTCCCCCACGCTGGGATTCCGGGGATTGCTGGGAAGGGGAAGGGTTGGACAGGGAGATCTCACTGATGTGTGTGTGTGACAGAAAGAAAGAATTGTCAGTGTAGAAGCTGGAGAAGGAATAGAAATTATGGCAAATTTTGATCTAGAAGAAGAGAATTGCTGAGCCAGGCTTAGTGGGTAACTAGAAGGCAAAGAACAAGTGAGCTGGAAGGATAAAAGAGAAAAGGATAAATCCACCTCAAACAAAAGATGTTTGTACCAAGCAAAAAGATTTTCACAGGCAAACAAAAATGCCAATGTTGCAAGTAGAGAAAAGATCTCAAAAATTTTCACTGCAAGAAAACTGAAAAAAAACCCTCTAGCTTAAACTGTAACATATTAACCTTTTGTGATGGGAAAACAGTGCCATGGATATGAAATGTCAGCAGTTATGATGGGCTGTAGGTGATAGTGAAGGAATTGATTGGTTGTCATGTATTGAGATGCTCTGCAATGAAAAGTATTTAATGTATTGTGACCAGAACTAGGCTCACCCACAGCCCCCAACTGCTGGAACCTGATTTTTATTGTCTATGCAATAAACATAAGAAAAGAAAATTTTAAGAGCCCTCTGAAGTCTCCATCTCTCCATCAGGCTCTTACAGTGTATTTATTTCTTATTTATTTCTCATGAAGAAATATGTTTTTATTCTGTGTTTCTCATTACAGTTAGTCTGTAAGATCTTGTAAGGAATTTTGTGTAAAAGCTTCTCTAAAACTTCCAAAGGATTCCCTCAGGTTGTTGCAGTAACAAATTTGTTCATCGTTCCCTTCTCTCAAAATTTTCCCTTCAGGTTTCCTGATGAAAGAAAGGAGAAGAGCAATTCCCAAGAGAGAAATGTTTCAAAGGTCTAAAAGGTAAAGTTGAGGGAGTTTTATTTTGGGTGGATCAGTGCCCTGGGTAGGGAGGGGCTTTGGCTCCTGTCTGCACTCACAGAACTGGGTGTGCAAATAATTCAGCTTTTCCACTGAAAAATGCAGGGGCCTTCTCAGAGGGAGAAGTGGCCTTCTTGGTGGTTTTTAATGATTTCTATGATAACATTTTAATGATTTTAATGATTTTTAGCATTTAAAAGTATTCTTAGGGTGTGTGGGGAAGGTGTCCCTGCCCATGGCAGGGCTGGCACAGGGTGGGCTTTGAGGTCCTTGCAACCCAAACCATTCCAGGATTCCACAAATTGTATTCTTTCTTATTTTAATTCTATTCTGTTCTGTTCCTATTCTATTTCTATTCTATTTCTATTTCTATTCTATTTCTATTCTATTTCTATTTCTATTCTATTTCTATTTCTATTCTATTTCTATT